ATAAGAGAACGCAAATAGTAGTATGGTGTAGGACGTCCATACAAGTGGACGCAGATCCTACTACATTGTAGGATGGAAAACCCCCCAGTGTGGTCAGAAAATTCTCAAGAAATGGACATATAACGGCAATAACTACATCTTCGAGTAGCATCCGGTGTAAATAAGGCATTCTAACGTTTGAAAAATCTAAAAGGATCTGGCTGTAGGGTAATGGGAGGAGCTTGTGATGACGAGTTCGCCGTTAGCCTAAGTGGCTGATAGTGGAAAGGGACTTCAGTATAGGTCAGCTGCAAAAAATGGGGAGCAAAACAGACCGGAGCCAGTCCTTCAAAATGAGGGGCACCTAAAGGCGGGAGTTGAGGCTGTATATAAGGAGTAGTTAAAATCAGACCAAGAAAATCCAGGAAAAATAGGAGGGGGTGATGACAGCCAAGAAGTTTTACGTGGGTTTAATTACTCCTACTTGCGAAGACGTTCATCAATACTGACTTAATAGGTCCTAAGTTAAACGTTTACCGCATCAGTAATGGTCACCTTCCGCTGCAATCGGGCGGCGGAAGAATTCTAACGACTAGCCAATTGACAAACCATACCCGCAGATGTCGGCACACTACAGGGCTTAACTACTTTAGAAGATGAGTGTTGAAGATGCAGTCTGTTAATGTAGTAGGAGAGGCGATGAAAGAGAATACAGCGAAAACATTCTATCGAGTAGTTTCAGAAGATTTGTGGCTTCCGAGGGCACAGGCCACGTCTCACATTCGTACAGAGCGACTGTTTTTACGAGACGCTCGCACACTCGCAGCTCGGTCCGTTGGTTGATCTCATACCTAGAGGTTCCGGTGGGATAAAACAAAAGCTACGCTTGATTACTCGAAAGTGGTTAGTTGCATCCTCATCTTGCCAGTTTGGTGGTTGGTTCAAAACAAAGTAGCAGGAGCTGACGACGAGCAAGAGCTGAAGAGTTTACTCTTGTCAGAAAGGCAGCTTAGACAGAAAAGATGGATGCGATCACCTTTACTTTGGAGGAATTAACTTCAAAGTTCTCTTAGAATACCTTCGCGAATATTTGGGGCACAGCACATTTCAGTTCATAAAAGAAACTCGCTGACACCCGGAAATCGTGGGTGTAATTAAAACCCAAAATACAACGGAAACGGTCCACTGTAACACTACAGTGGTCCGCCTCTCACATACTGAAGAGTCCGGTCTGCCACATAAGCAGTACTGATGGGTGACATAACCTCGGTAGTGCCATCCCTGATAACATTGCACTCGTACATCGCTAGCTCCTACTAACGCTATTTTGTTAGTCTGCGGACAGTTTTTGCGATGGGCTAACCCCTTTGAGGCATGATCCAGCCGTAAGTCTGTTCTAACCATCAGTAAAAAATTGCGTAAATGACGTTAGTACGCATCAATTGCGCATATTTCCTGGAGTCGGTTTAATTGGACGACATCTAGTCCAGCCCTGTGACTTCCACATTTATTAATGATTCTCACGCGCAGGTTGTGCACTTCAACCAACTAACTGATCGCAGGTAACGTCGAAACCGTTAGAAAAGGGCTGCTCAAATGCTATTCAAATGACATAAGGGCATCGATGAGGTCAATGAACGAACCATTCATATGAATTCTGGACTAAGCCTTCTTCTGGAACGGCATATCACTGCTATAGCAATCGAAATAACTGCCGCGGCATCGCATCTTGTAATAGCATCGAATAAAAGAAGCCCGACAGACATAGTCGGATCATTAAAGACGGACCAGATGGCTACTTGGACAGAAACAGGCACTGCAACTGAAGTTGAAACT